TGGGGGGGGGGGAGAGAGAGGGTGAGAACCAAGAGGCATCGACTCGCGTGTAATGTGCTGAAAGGCATGCAATGCGGAGAAAGCGATGGCACACGGGAAAATCGCCCCCATGCCTCCAAACTTGTCGGTGGCGTGCAGCGTGCCTCTTTCAGCACGTTTGTGCAGCCGGTTGGTTGTCCTTCTGCACGAAGATGCGTCGTGTAACAGACAGACGCAGCCTGAACACGATTATCGCCTTGCCTGTCGTGTATGTCGGTTGCTTCGTTTGTTTTGATTGTAGACGGAGGGACGGACCGGCGGGCCGACAGACACACCCATTGGTCAGCCGATTAGCGCGGTCGGTGCTATTAACGAAACGCAGACAGACAGACAGACAGACAGACAGACACAAACAGGCAAAGACTAGGACGCAGGACTATTGAACAGGACGCGCCATTTCACACGGGATATACACATACCCGCGGGCAATATCCTGGCGCCCTGCACTCCAAAGGTTTCTATCGTCGCAGGCTGCAAACACTGCATGGGCATGGAGATGTGCGTGGATATATATATCCCTATTGTTCAACTTTCTGCTGCTTACATTCAGCAAGCGTTTTCCTATCTTTTTTATCGCAACATGGTGAACTTGACGGCAGTTTTTATGGCGACATGGTGAACTTGACCGCAGTCGAACCCGTCGACATTTACCACTCTCTGCCTATCGAAGGAAGAGGTTCCTTTTTCCGGCATGACTGCCCGCGAAAAGGCACGCCGTTTCAGCCCTTCCCCTCCCGGCTGTCTTTATGGGGGCAATTTTCTTCCTCCCATGTGGTCCATGTACCGTGTGCCTGCCTTCCGTGCGGTCTTGCCTTGTCTACTGAAAAACTACGGTTGCGGGGGGCTGAGGGGGGGGTGTACTCATGTAAACGCTATGCCGTGGTCGACAGACCATTGGCGTCGTATGCCGGGACGGAGGAGCGATACGCCGGGTTTTCGCTGACCCAGGCTACGGTTTACAAGGATGAACCAGGAACTGGTCATTGTGCTTTTGTTTGCTGTGCCAACCCAGATATGCCATGGGTTGATTGGGGAGGGGGGGGGGGAGTGAAGGTCTAGCGCTGCTATCTTTCAAGACGGTGTGTGTGATGCACGACGTCCTGCATGATGGAGCATGATTTCACCCCCCCCCCCTCCCCTCCCCTTCCTGTCCGTGGTACGAAGAGGAGAGGGAAGTGTTCATGACTAAGCTGGGAAAAATCCAAGGGACGTACAGGGAGATGTTTGAGGCATGAGATAGAGAGGAGAGGACGGTAGCTGTACTGGGGAGTAGGCAGTGGTTTGAAAAGGCGGGAAGGGATATCGTTAGGATAGACAGACTAGGGAAGACCTTTTTGAGCCCCCTTTGGCAAAGTAAGAAGGAACGATTGGCCATCGGTGATCGGTCCTGGGGGAACAATGCTCCGTCCTTTGGGGGAGGGGGGGTCAATGGTCTATCCGCTAAGCCATGCAAAACACACGAGTAGCCCCCCCCCCCCCCCCTTCCCCTCCCCTTTCTCTTTCCGATGTGCTTGCAAATCTCCGAACTGATGCGTCTGCACACAGGGGAATGGCTCGTGCACTTACGCCGTTTGCGCGTCCTTCTCGTGGAACTCCAACGGGACTGTCAATTAGGAGGTGATTGGCGGGGCACCGCACCTGTGGCAACAGCTATCTCATAGAGTGAATGTTTTTCAGGAGGGTCACAAGGGGGGGGGGGGGTACTCATAGCCGTGCATGCCGAAGTCGTTAGACCGTTGGTCTCGCATACCTGCAAAGCCGAGACGGAGCACGCCGGGTTTTCCCCGGACAAGGCTCTCACATCACCAGGGGGAGGGGGGGAGGGTCATGGCGCACCATCGTGGATTGATTTAACACGCAGATGAAAACAGAGAGGCGTTAGTTTGTGCCAAGAAGGGTATTTGGTGGAGAGGGATGGAGAAACTACACCCCCTCTTGGGTGGCAAGTAAGTGGTATAGGGAGGAGACCCACGCATTTGCTCGCCTCAGGCGACACGCTCGAGCGAGTCTCTGGATGACCTTGATCGGGGCAGGCCACCTCACGGGGTAGGCCACCTGTCGGGGCAGGCCAAGGTCTCGTTCAGGCCAGCGAAGCGCTTGATTGATCAGCCGATCCACTGCAGCAGATGCAGCAGCAAGCAGTCACAGATGATGGAGAATCGCGAGTGCACGAATCGGATCCAAAGCTCCGACGCCGTGATCGCTGTTCCTGTCTCTTTTTTAGATTTCTCTTCTCAACGTACAATTTGTCTCCTCCGTCTCTCACCTCTTATCCCGGGCCTCTGTACATCGCCGTTCCTTTCCATCCGTGGTGTACCTGATTTTCTTCCCCGGGGCAAAATAAAGGTCGTGGTGTCGCACGGCATGGGGACGGGCTTGGCCAGGACCATAGACCTCGAAGTCTACCTCAACTACGACGACGAGGGAGGGGCGCCCGTGTCGGGGGACTCGACGGAGATGCACTGCGCTCAAGACGCGGCTTGCGTGGAGGCGACGGAGTGCGGCGAGGGCTCGGCGGAAGTTAAGGTAGCTAAAGGGTGTTGCGGTTTATTGTTGGTTGTGTTGCGGCTGTGGGTGCAACGGGCCGGGGTCGACAAGTTGCGGATCAAGGCGCGCATCACGTTCGCGCACACGTTTCGCACCGTCTTTACACTTGGAAGTAATTGTTTTCAGGTATTTCAAGTAAAATGATGTTTTGTTTTGTTTGGAGACGGGTAAACGAACGCCCATCTCCTCCCCCCCCCCCCCCCAATGCGATGACCGACCAACCGAAGGTGCTGACCTTCGACAGCTACGGCGACGGTTGGTCTGACCCCTTCGGAGAGGCCACGGAGTTCTGGACGCTCACCGGCGCCACGGGGAGCTGGTCCGGCAACCTCATGAAGGGCCATGCGGCGGCGCGGTCGACGCTCTGCCTTGCCGACGGAGACTATGACTTCTCGGCGCCGGGGGCCGTCTCGTGGGTAAGAGAGAGAGAGCCGTTGTTGAGCCCGGCAACAGCCAACCGCGGTTTCGTGTCGGGATAAAGGTTGAGCGACCCGGCAGCAACGCAGTATAATACCCCCGCCCTCGGAGTCTTGGGGTGTTTTGTAAGCGAGTGGAGTGCTTGCTTGAGGAGAATCCCGTGGTTTTCGTGCTACAGTAGAGAGGCCCCGCCTGGCACTGCTCCCGCGTGTCTGGGAAAGGCTTGCATGCTGCACTACGTGGGAAGGGCTTCCTAGAGTACGCGAGTGAGGGTATTGGGGGGGCGATAACTCCCCGAAAGAACCCTCATCTCGACCCTGAACGAACCGTAAACACCCGCAGAGGGCAGCAGGGTGGAGAGAATTCTGTTGATGTGGCTTGGGAATGCAGATACTTGATCCTCTCGCAACCCCCCCCCCCCCCCCCCTCTCCTCTTTTTCGGGGTTTCCGCAGTCCAATGACGTTTCGTGGACGGTCTGCGATACCGCTGGCTTTGCCGGGCAAGCCATGGCCATCACCGTGGCGCAGGGGGCGTGTTCGGTGGCCGGGGAAGTGAATCCAGGTGTCCCCTCTGTCGCTCGCCGCACCGGGGGTCGGGGATGACAGCATGTGCGAAGACTCGTGCGCCGACTATTCGGCATCGGAGGTGCGCCGGCCTGAACTTTTTTAAGGGGAAGCAAACCGTGTTTCTATCTGTGCGTGGTTTGTTTCTGTGTGATCTTCGTGTATGTGGTGCGTTTCGCTATACTAGTTGGTTTGCTTCGTCCGCCACTACAGAACAACAACAACGTGTCGTTGGTTCTTCTCGGCATCGTTGGTTCTTCTCGGCAACCGAAAAGATGCCAACAACGCTACACCCCCCCCACCGCAAGCTCTGCACACACACATACCGACCCCCCCCCCCCCTCACTCCTTCTTAACTGGGGGGCTCGCACGTTGGCGTGTACTACGAACCAAAATGTGACCCCGTGGGCGACACTAACGAGTACGAATTTCTAGGCAGCGGAAGCGGCTCGGGCTGCGTCGTCCACAGCTACTACACGGGCGCTCCGGCGACCTGCCGTTTCTGCGTGGTGAACCGCGACCTGTGGGCGACGGAAAACCCCGGGGCGCGAGACCCTGATTGGTGAAGGGGGGGGAAGGGGAAGGGGAAGGGGGGGGCCGG